GCGATGCTGGCAAAGGAAGAAGAGACATCACCAGCAGGCCCGTCGGAGCAGCAGCTGGACGATTCGTTGGCACTCCAAGCGGCCGCCGACGTACTTAGTCTCTACTCTGTGCCCCTGGACTCTCCGCACTCCCGAGTCCACCCCAAGGCGGCGCTAGGGGACCTGCCCCAGGCCGTTCGGCTCCCCTCTCAGTGGCCTTACTCCCTCCAGGATCGCGGGCAGACACTTCGGAGGATCGCCTGGGTAGAAAGCCAAGCGTCTGTCGAGACGGTGGACGACAGGAAAGACTCCACACGCGAAGACTTGGCCAGGAAAGGCAACTGCGCGCTCGGCGTCCGCGTCACCAGGATCGACGCCAACTCGGACTTGGGTGACCTGGACACCTCCCGGTTACGCAGCGCGATGGAACTTTCGGAGGACAAGGAACTCTACCTACTGGAGTGGCCCTCTAAGTACAGAGTGGCATCCAGGACCCAGGAGGGAGACAAGGAAGGCAGAGAGCTGTACATTTCTGTCGCCGGCCCCACAGTCGACAAAATTGCTGACGTCACGCTCTGGTGGCCCCCCTCCCTGGGCGGTGCCATTCACCCAAGAGACGCCCAAGTGCTCGGCCTCAGCCCGTCCGCCAGGTACCCGTCCGACAGGTGCTTAGTGCTGTGCAACAGTGGAAAGTGGGGGCCATTCCACGAAGACGAAACCAAGGCGAAACGCCCCCCTAACGACGACGTTCCCTGGTACCGTGTGGACGAGGCCCCCTCCGACATCCAGTTCCGGCGCCAGTGTTGGGCTCTCGACCAGATCTACTACCTCCGACAGAATGCCGCGGATCTGTTCGCCCGCGCGCTGTCTCCCCTGACTTTCCTCTTAGCCTTCTTGCACGCCCCCCGAGCCGACCGACTCGCGGCCAACGACCTGCGGCGTACCAGCAGAGTAGGCTCGAACCTGAGGGCCAGGGCTGCCGCCACCCTGGACTGCGACGTCCCCGACGCTGACCTCACTCAGGCTGTCCGATGCGGCTTTCTGCAGCAGGCACCGCCGCTTCCCCTGGGTCTGTCGGGGTTCTCCGACGATGAGATCTCGGACGCGACGGGGTCGGTCTTCCAGAGGGTACGCCCCGCACCCAGTCCTGCGACCTTCCGCGAAAGGGTGGACAAGCACAAGCCAAACAGCGACGCGATCAGGGCCCTTCAGGCCACCTTGGATCATCACGCCGTGCTGGTGCACGGGCCCCCCGGGACAGGCAAGACCACCTTTTCCGTCGCCTGCCTGGACATGTGGGGAGGCTGCCTGCGTCCTGGGCAAGCAGTTGCGTTGGCAGCCGGTTCGAACACGGCGGTGGACCAGCCCGCCCTGGCAATGTCCGAAGCCCATCAGCAGCGTCGTCTCGATCCCGACACGGGGTTCCCGGGGAAATTCGTGCGCCTGGCAAGGAAGGAGCTTGTCAACGAGGGACTCGTGGACCTGACACCAGAGGGCCACTACAAGAACGCCCACGGAGAGTTCCCGTTCCAGGACGGGGACAAGAGCCCGGACTTCAAGCCCTACAAGGCTAGCCTGCTTCGGGATGCCAAGGTGAGCATGTCCACACGCGAGGCGGCCGAAGCCCTCGGACAGAAAGACAGTCCTCACATTGTCCTCCTGGTAATTGACGAAGCTGGGCAGGCCACGGAGCTTCATGCGCTCATGTCCATGGCGAATTTGATCAACAGCGGCGGAGCCCTGGCACTGGTGGGCGACCCGAATCAGTTGCCCCCCACGGTTCTCTCCAAGCTGGCCAACGACTTGGGACTCTGTGTCAGCAGATTTGACAGGATGTGTCACGCACTCCGCGGCCAAGATACGGCTGTGGTCCACCTGTCGATATGCTACCGCATGCATTCGCAGCTACTCGCCTTTCCGAACGCTGCCTACTACGGCAAGGGTATGACGACGGGCATCATGGACCCGCTCAGGGACAGGCCCATCGTTGAAGGCATCCCATGGAGAGACATCACCCCTTGGGAACCCGGGCGACTGACGGAGCTGGCCAAACTCACCGGTTCCGACGAGACCGACCTTCGCGCGACCCTCAGGCAGTTGGATCCTCCGCAAGACGGAGACAAGCACCAGTTCCTGCTGGTCGACACACCCTCCTGGGAAGTGACGTCTAGCTTCCAGCCAGGCTACGCCAACCTCCCCGAGGCAGCGCAGGCTGTGGACATCGTGCGGGCGGTCCTGCCCGAGCTGGAAGAAGGCACCACCGTCAGAATCGTCGTCGGCTACCAGCTCCAGACGGCCATCCTCACGGACGGCTGGCCCCAAGGCCCCCGCCACCTCTGCGGTGTCCTGTGGAATTCAAAGGGTGGCAAGAAGGGGGAATCAGGCAAGGGAAAAGGCAGTGCTGTTCGCGACGGGCAAGACATCCCTGGCCCTGGAGCTGACCCCCAAGAGCACGTGGTGGACGTTCACCGATGGGAAACCGTCTTTCGGGAAGACCACAACGTCCACATAGCCATCGGCGCAGCCTTCCCTGGGTTCAGGCAGGTTGCGGGAAAGCACATGAAGAGTGGGGCTCTCAAGCTCACCACCATCGACTCCAGCCAGGGTGGTGAGGCAGACATCGTAATCGTACTGACCACCAGGAGCAACGGGAAGCACAATTGGGGCTTTGTCGACGACGCCAAACGCCTGAACGTGGCAATTACTAGGGCCAAGCGGAATATCCTGATGTTGGGAGACGGGCGCATGTTCGCCAATGCCACCTGGTCCCAGCTGCGCGTGCTCTCTGAGTACGGACGTTTGACCCGCCTCTGGGTCCGATTCGGGGGCGGCGCACCTGCTGGCCACAGGAGATCCCTGGTCATAGACGAGCTTTGACCCACTGCCCGGCCTCGCCACCTGGGTACCGCCCCCCGTCGCCTGGAGCTGCGATGTACAGGGAGAGGACGGGCGAAAAGAGCTCGACGCGGCCAAAAGGAAAGCCCGCGACGCCCAGGCGAGCGGCTTCGCCGAGCGCTAAAAAACTCTGCTGGACGACGACTTCGACTGGGACTCCCAGGGTAAGCTCATCTCGGCCGGCCTCAACGAGATCCTCTCGACGCCTGCCTTCAACGTGCTCATCTACCTGGTGGCGGGACGACACCCACACGAGTTCTCGCTGGCAGAAACACCGCGACAACCTGGCAGACTCGACCGCAAGGCTTGGTCGCACCTGGGCTTCCTGTTCGACATGTCCCTGGGTCTAGACGCGACCAATCTAGTCTACAACATGCTCTGGGCAGCCATTGTGTGGACACTCGGCCTTGGCACTCCCTGGGATGACGCCAACCACGCAGTGCCCGACGACTCCCTCCCCCCGTTGCCGCACGTCAAAGGACGGCGTGTAACACTCTGTGGTCGACGCCAGTACACCCCCAAGGGGCTCTTCCGGCAGGTTCCTCAGGCGTGGAGTGCAGCAACCAAGGACTGCTGCAGACACAGGAAGCACCCTGGAATGGCTGGCCTACGGGAAATGCTCAGCGGCGCCCCCGACGACCCAAAGTGGGTCCTGTGTCCTGGAAGGGAATTCTTCCGTTTCGCGTATCCACACCAGCCCATCTCAAAACAGCAACTCTAGCGAAGCATGCCGACAGTCGTGTTTTTCATCCCGCATATCTCCCCTGTTCCTCCTTCCTCCCGCCTCCTTGTACATCCTCCTTGTGGTGGGAGCGGGAGAAGGACGAGGCGGAGGAGGAGGGAGAGAAAGCGCTCCTCGTGGTTTGAGTCGTTCGGGCTTCTCGTCCTGGTGCGAGTCGTTCGGGCCATTCTTCCTGGTGTGAGTCGTTCGGGCTCTTCGTGTGTGAGTCGTTCGGCTCTTCGTCCTGGTGTGATCGTTCGGGCTTCTTCGTGGTGTGAGTTGTTCGGGCCCCTCGTCCTGGTGTGAGTCGTTCGGGCCCCGCCTCCTGCCCGTCCAGAAACGACGCCCAGGCGAGTAGAGGGTCGTCCTGATGGGTTTTTCGGCGTCTTGGGTGCCTCGGGGGGGCCTCTTTGGGCCGTTTGGGATCCTCTTGGGGGCCTCCTGGGGGCCTCTTGGGGCCATCTGGGGGCCTTTTGGTGCCTCCTGGGCGCTTCTTGGGGCCATCTTGGAGGAAATCGATCAAAGAAGAGGGGAGCTTCAATTTGCGCTGCCCCCTCAGAAGGCCAAAATGGGGCCAAAACCGTAGTAAAATCAATGATTTTGGCTTGAAAGGAGAGGGGAGCTTTAATTAGCGCTGCCCCCTCAGAAGGCCAAAATGGGGCCCAAACCGTAGTACAATCAATGATTTTGGCTTCAAAGAAGAGGGGAGCATTTTTCTGCCTCCCCCCGTCGGGGCCAGAATCCTCGTGAGCGGTGTCGTTTTTTAGCCCTCCCAGGAGTCGAAAAAAGACCCCTCCAACCACCCGCGGGGCGCCCTCTCCAGGCCCAGGGGGAGGGGGTAGGGGGAGGGGTAAACCCCTCCCCGAAGGGGAAGAAGGGGGTTGAGAACAGAGCGGGCTCTCTAAACCACTCACGCCCAAAGGGCTGGTGGGATTCGCCATAAAAGGAATCGATATGTAGTCTGCCATAAAGGAAAGTCAATGTGTAATCCTCTATAAAAGGACGCAGACAGAAGGAGGAGGAGTATTAACGCGAAGTAGATGCATCACAACGGACCAAGAGGGTGGCCCACGGGAGTCCCATGCAAACTTGTTCCCCCCGAAGGGGACTCCCAGAAGAGCCCGTTCTCGGCAGAAGGGGGGGGGGCCCGATGGCGAAACGGCACCTTCCTGGGCGGGGTGGGCCTGTGAGGCCCTTCTCGGCGATCAGCGGGCGACTGGGGGCCCGATGCATCCCCCCCCTGTGCCTGTCCACCCCCCCCTGTGGAGGAGGAGGAGGAGGAGGAGGAGGAGGAGGAGGAGGAGGAGGAGGACGAGGACGAGGAGGAGGAGGAGGAGGACGAGGACGAGGAGGAGGAGGAGGAGGAGGAGGAGGAGGAGGAGGAGGAGGAGGAGGAGGAGGGACCGCCTCCGTGCACAGGGCCTCGGAGGTCGCCGGGTCGGGGGCCGGCGGGGGCTGCGCCGGCTCCCGGAGGAAGTTCAGGATCATGCGGAAGAGGCTCGAGTCGCGGTCCAGGAAGATGCGCCCGTCGCGGTCTCGGGGCGCGCTGGCGCGGCCCGTCAGCAGCCTCTCCAGCAGGCTGCCGGGCTGCTGGGTGCACGTCTGCCGGGCGGCCTCGAAGATGACGCCGCCGACGTTGAGGTCGACCATGGTCTCGGTGGCCACGTTGTGGTCCGAGATGCGCTGGCGCTCTCGCTCTGCGACCTCGTACTCCGAGCGGAACTTCTCTCGCTCCAGCGCGAAGCGCCTGCGCCCGTGCGCCACGTCCTTGTCGATGCTGCCGCGGTCATCGCCCAGCTTGGCCCTGTGGTCGTCGCGCTCCTGGCGGATCTGCCTGGCGGTGCTCGCCGCCTCCACCTCCGCCCGGCGCTTGTCCTGCGCGATGCGGTCGTACTCGCCCTGCTTCTGGGCCACGAACTCGGCCCACACCCGCTCCTTCTCCTCCTTGAACGCCCGCCTCTCCGACTCCAGCTGCAGGGCCTCCTCCCGCAGCTGGGACTCCGCCTTCTCCGCCCAGGCCGTGTACGTCCGGCGGATGTCGCTCATCATGCCGCTGAACTCGTCCCCCGAACTGAGGCGGGGCACCTCGAGCCGAAGCCAGCCGAGGGGAGGCCGACCGAGGACTCGGAAGGGCCGACCGAGGACTCCGAAGGCGGCCGCCGGCCGCTGGCGGCCGCTGGCCGCCGAGGGCTGCCAGAGGCCGACCGACGGGCCGACCGAGGGCCGCCAGAGGCCGACCGAGGGCGGCCGCGGGCCGCCGCCGGCCGCCGCAGGCCGCCGACGGCCGCCGCCGGTGGCCGCTGGCGGTGGCCGCGGCGGGGCCGCCGCCGACGGCCGACCAGCTCGGGGGGAGCACCTCGAAGCCGGCCGAGGCATCCATCGCCATCGCGCCCGCCCGGCGGCGCGCGGCCGCGGGGCGCGGCCGCGGGCGCAGGGCCAGCAGGGCCGGGGGGGGGGCCCAGGGCGGGCCACACGCCGCAGGGCAGCCCGACCCAGCGGCGGGCGGGGGAGGCCCTGCTCGGCGGCGCTTGTTCTGCCTGCGCCGTGCTCGGCGTGGCGCGGAAGGGCTCCCAAAGGACGGGGACACTCGGTCGACGCGCCTCCCGTCAACCTGGACGGCAGCCTGCGGAAAATCCCGCGGCGTCGGCGTCGGCGTCGGCGTCGGCGTCGGCGTCGGCGTCGGCGTCGGCGTCGGCGTCGGCGTCGGCGTCGGCGGCGGCGGCGGCGGCGGCGGCGGCGGCGGCGTCGTCGTCGTCGTCGTCGTCGTTGTCGTCGTCGGCCTCGGCGTCGTCGGCCTCTTGGCTGGCGCTGCGCCCGCGGAGGGGCCCCCGCGCGCAGGCGGCGAGCCGCCCTGCGGGCGGCTCGGCCGACTGCCCCGGCGGCCTCCCCGTCGGCCTCCTTTGGGCCTGGGGGGGAGGGTGCGCCGGCGGAGTGCCCTGAGAGCCACAGCGGCTGCGGCTGCGGCTGCAGCGGCGGTCGCGGCGCCGGCGCCGGCGTCGGCGTCGGCGTCGGCGCTGGTGCCGGCGTCGCCGTCGTCGGTCGTCGGTCGTCGGTCGTCGGTCGTCGGTCGTCGGTCGTCGGTCGTCGGTCGTCGTCGTCGTCGTCGTCGTCGTCGTCGTCGTCGTCGTCGTCGTCGTCGTCGTCGTCGTCGTCGTCGTCGTCCGTGGCGGCGGCGGCGGCGGCGTCGGCGGCGTCGTCTGCGTCTGCGTCTGGGTCGGCGTCGGCGTGTCGCGGCGGCGGCCCCCGCCACACGATGCGCTTTGCAAGTGGGCGGCGCGTCGCTCCGCGCTCCACACCGCGGAAGAGGAGGAGGAGGAGGAGGAGGAGGAGGAGGAGGAGGAGGAGGAGGAGGAGGAGGAGGAGGAGGGAGGAGGAGGAGGGACGGAGGAGGAGGAGAAGGAGGAGGAGGAGGAGGGGAGGAGGAGGAGGAGGAGGGAGGAAGGAGGGAGGAGGAGGAGGAGGGGGGAGGGAGGAGGAGAGAGGGGTGAGGAGGAGGAGGAGGAGGAGGGGGAGGCAGGAGGAGGAGGAGGATGAGGAGGAGGAGGAGGAGGAGGAGGATGAGGGAGGGGAGGAGGAGCGAGGAGGAGGAGGAGGAGGAGGGAGGGAGGGAGGGAGGGAGGGAGGGAGGGAGGGGGAGGAGGGAGGGAGGACGGGAGGGAGGGAGGGCGGGAAGGGGCGGAGGGAGGGACGGGAGGGAGGGGAGGGAGTGAGGGAGGAGGAGGAGGAGGAGGAGGAGGAGGGGAGGAGAGGAGGAGAGGGGAGGAGGGAGGAAGGAGGAGGAGGAAGGAGGAAGGAGGAGGGAGGAGGAGGAGGAGGAGGAGGAGGAGGAGGAGGAGGGAGGGAGGGAGGGAGGGAGGGAGGGAGGGAGGGAGGGAGGGAGGGAGGAGGGGAGGGGAGGGAGGAGGGAGGGAGGGAGGAGGAGGAGGAGGAGGAGGAGGAGGAGGAGGAGGAGGAGGAGGAGGAGGAGGAGGAGGAGGACGCCCCCGAGGGAGGAGAGGCGGGAGGCCCTCTTGGCGGGCGCACCAGGACCCCCCCCCCCCGGCGCCGCCGCCGACGTCAGTCGGGGTGGTCGGCGGGCTCGTGCACGCCGTTTCCGGCCATGAACTCGCGCAGCTGGGACGGCGCGTACACCAGCCTGCCTGGCCTGCCCTCGGGCTCGGACTGCTCGTCGTCCTCGGGCGCCTCGCCCCCCAGCAGCCAGCTGACGTCCGGGCACCCGAGCCAGCCCTGGTCCAGCTCCTCCTCGTCCAGGGCCAGCTCGTCGAGGACGTAGCAGTAGAACATGGTGTCGGACACGGTGTCGAATCCGCCGGCCCCGCCGCGAGGCCCGGGCTCCGGCAAGGGAGCATCTCGGTTCCCGTCGGCGCGGTGGGGGCAAGCCGCATGGCTGAAGCGCTTCCGAAGAGCAGGAAGACCTCGGAACCATGACTTCTTCCTGGCGCGGTCAGCACGCCTCAGAGGCACAAGGCTGTCCAGTTTGGGGAATGGCCGAAGTTCAGCGTTTCCAAGATGAGGACGCTCGACCCCCCTCTTCGCTTTGATAGTCCACCGCCGTCCCCGAGCCACGCCCTCAGAATCTCTGGATGCCCTGGGACGCAAATCACAAGACAGCTCGCCGCTTGGGCCCCACCGCCAGCCCAAACGGCGAGCATAAATCGGGCGTAGCCCCGCACGCATTCGAAAGCCCACACTTCGTCCTTGTACTACTCGTATTCCTCCCCGTCCTTCTCCCCACAGCTCCTCCTCGTCGTCCTCGTCTAGGACCTCGTCCTCATTTCTCCTCTTCCTCCTCCTGCTCATCCTCCTTCTCCTGGCGCCTCGGTCCCCGACGCCCTCGCTGGCCCGCTTGCGGTTTTCTCTGGGGTCGGCGGCAGAGTCCATAGGTTGCGCCCTAGGTTGCGCCCTAAGCAGCTGAGAAGAAAGCCGTCTCCCAAGGGTTGCGCCATAGGTCGTGCCCTCGGCGGCTGAGAATAAAACCGTCTGCCCTCGGCGGCCGAGAATATAACCGTCTGCTATCGGTTGCGTCATGGGTTGCGCCCTCGGCGGCCGAGCATAAAAACGTCTCCTGTCGGTTGCGCCGTAAGTTGCGCCCTCGGCGGCCGAGAATGAAACCGTCTCGTAAAGGGTGCGACCAGTCTCTTCAGTTCAGCTCAATTCAATCAGTTTACCTCGCGGGAAACAAATTCGGGCTACTCCCGAAATAAAGAAGCGGCGCGTCCGTTCTCCCAAAGCCACAACCCTTCGGCATGAATGATGCTCCCGCGATCCGAAGGCAACGACTCCTGGTCAAAGGAATGACGGAACCGCACTCCCGAGCCGAGGCTACGATCCACCGTGTGTGTAAAGCTCGGGACTGACTATTGCTCTGCGCTCGGGACTGGCTATCGCTCTGCGCTCCCGAAGACACGAGCCCGGGCCAAGCAATTGACCGCGCGCCCGAGGCCATGATCTCGCGTAAAACTACGGGCCCCGAGGCCCCCAATATCCCCCCCAAGGCAGCCCGCCATGGCCTCAAGAGGGCCCCAAGACGCCCGAGAGGACCCCCCCAGAGGTGGTCAAGACGGCCCAAGCGACGCCCAAGACGGCCGCGTCTGGCCCCAGCCGGCTCCAGAGCGCCCCCGGCCAGTCCCGAGGACCTCCCACGAGGCCGCGGGAGGCCTCACGGCCCCCAGGATGGCCCCAGGAGATGTCGCAACTGTGGCAATGTGCTCCCCAGTGTTCCTCAAGTTGTTTTCGCCAGGGCTGGTGAGGGCTTCTACGCAGGCAGGCTGAGGGTTGGAGGCAGCGGTGGTTCGCGGGAGGCGTCTTAGATAAAACCATGAAAGCGCACCCAACGTAAAAACTGAAGGCTGCAGTTGTGTACACGACCACAGACTTATCGAAGACAAAATGCGTGCTGGATGGATCGTCAAAGTCCAGTTCCGACAAAGCAAAAAACGACGCGGAAGCACCCACAGCTGTGCTGAGACCGACCCCCCCAATTTGGAATATAAACTGGACGCTGTTCAACACAAAGACACGCTGAAAATAGTCTGATACCATCATGTGCGATGTCCGTGCGGCATCCAGTAGACATGTTGAGTTAATGGCAACATCGATGTATGCGTTCTTGTTCAATCCCACCATAAACTCTCCACACTGAATACAACACGCTCCTAAACAATTGCTCGCAGGGTTCGCCTTATCTGCGTCGTTGCTCGCTTGACCTTTGCAAGCCCCAAGGAAGACTCTACATGGCCTGAGGAACAAAATGACCAGCGAGCCCAATGCTGCAGTTCCCAGGTGGTAGCGGAAAAGGTTGTAGAAACCTTTGCACAACGCGCATCCAGGAGCGTCCCTCTTGATGCGGCCGACGTATGGTGTGAAATACCAAGCCTGGGCGACCCAAGCGATGACGTACTGAGAACAAGAATGGACGAATTCCACGGACCATAGCACGACGCAGCCGTAAAACACAATGGACACCCACTGCAGAGGAGTGTAGTGCATGACCCGCTCTGGCGGCCAGTCGCCGTTGACTGTCTCCATCGTGCCCATGCTCCCGATGACCGCAAGGCCGGGCACCAGCGCCATCAGATAGGCGATCCTGACGCAGGACGACACGAAGGGCTCCAGCAGCAGCGTGCGCTCATCGAACACACACTCGCAGCCCGCCTCCACGATGGCGACGGCTGTGCCCAGGCTCCTCCAGCCCATGCTCAGCACCACGCCGAGGACAATGCCCAAAAGCAGCAGCCCGGCGCCCATCGAGAAGTCCTCTTCAGCACGAGGGGAAGCCGCTGTTGAAAGCAAGGGGCCCCTGATGCCCAGGAGGCCCCAACACGGCCCCCAAGGGCCCCCCCAGATGGCCCAGGACCCAGACATCGGGACCACTTCCCTGGGGAGGAGGAGGAGGAGGAGGAGGAGGAGGAGGAGGAGGAGGGGGAGGAGGAGGAGGAGGAGGAGGAGGAGGAGGAGGAGGAGGAGGAGGAGGGAGGAGGAGGAGGAGGAGGAGGAGGAGGAGGAGGAGGAGGAGGAGGAGGAGGAGAGGGGGGGAGGGTTTTGACGCTCCCGAGGCCCGGCGAGGGCCCCCAGAGGCCGAAGACGGCCAAGAACCACCCGCTCCAAAATTTTCTGGAGCGTCGGACCTCTGGGCGGGCGAGAGGGGGTGGGGGGGGGGACGAGGGAGAGCAGGAGGGAGAGCAGGAGGGGGAGGGAGGAGAGGGAGGAGGAGGGGAGGAGGAGGAGGAGGAGGAGAGGAGGAGGAGGGAGAGGAGGGAGGAGGGGGGAGGAGGAGGGGGGAGGAGGGGCGTGCATGAGGAGGAGGGGGATGGAGGAGGGGAGGAGGAGGAGGAGGAGGAGGAGGAGGAGGAGGAGGAGGAGGCGGAGGAGGAGGCTCACAAGAGCGGCCCCGAGAGCGAGAGCTCGCCCCCGAGGAGA